TTTTCTACACTCTTCTATGGTTTTTAACTTAACTAGTTGTTGATGTTTAAGCAATATTGGAATTTGGGAGGATTTTGAACAAACCTAGGATTTTGGTTTAAAATCAAAAGAGGGATTTTCAAATGTATATATTAAAAATAGTTATGGGAGTAGATAAGAGGTTGTGTTGTGATAAATTTCTTGATTTGATACTTGGGGTGGATTTTGAAAAAAAAATGGAGTTTTCCCTAACAGGTCTCAAGTAGTTATTTTGTATAAATAAATAGAATTGGTATTGGAAATGTGAAATTGGATGGAGGTTCATATAATGGTAGAGTTGGATATGTATTATCTCTTACCTATGGAAATTTGGATAGTTTATCTGTCTTGAAAATTGTGTATCTGTTTAGAAATATCTATTTTGGGCTATCTATGAAGGATAGTTATGATTATTGTAGAAATTACATGAGGATTAGGTGAATTGAAATTAATCTCTCATCCGTTAGCATTGAATATGACTATGTCTTTAATACATTGTAAATGTATGATGTTTGGGAGAAGAAATGGGGTGTACTCCATTGAATTAAGTTGGCCTGTGTGTTCAGGGTGAAAGTCCTGAAAATTGCGCATATACATGGGTGTCAATTCCCGCGGATGAAATATCCGTAAAATGGCAACTATAATCGTTTGTATAGTGGTTGTGTTGGTTAAAGACCCACTGAGTTGTACCCTTAGTTTGGTTGTCTGAATGAAATAGAAATGACTCATGAATTGAGATAAAATGGATAGAGATATAAAGGCCCCGTTTGGTAGAACTGTGAGAAAGTGATTATAAATTATGACTTAACAGATTATAGATTATAGCTTTAAACATAAGTTGTTAATGTGTTTGGTGTAGCTGTGAGATTATGGATTTAATCAGCAGAGTAGTATTTGGTTGAATAAGCTGTAAAATAGCTTTTTGATGTGTAATGTCCTTTTTGCCTTTTTTCTTCTTCTTCTTTTCCTTCATTTTATTTTATTTTATTTTATTTTCCTTTTCTCTGTATTTTCTTCTCTCTCTCTCTCTCTCTCTCTCTCTCTCTCTCTCTCTCTCTCTCTTCTTCTTCTTTTCTTTTCTTCTCTTAATTGTTTTTTATTCTCTTGTTTCCTTATTTCTTTTTTTCTTTTCTTCTCTGAATTTTTTTTTTCTTTTTCTTCATTTCATTTTATTTTATTTTCTTTTTTGTTCTTCTCTTCTTACATATTAATTATATTCATGAATTTATATTAATGTTGTGATTTCATTACATATTATTTTTTATATTCATTTTAGTCTATAAATACATGAATATTTATTATTTCATATTTTTTATTAATATAAAAATCACAATTTTTTTTCATTAAACAATTTTATTTTATTTTCTTTTTCTCTTCTTTCTTTTTTATTTTTCTTCATTTTACAATAATACCAAACCCTAGCCACTGCCAGCAGCTCTAAGGTTTTACTCTGGTTTAGATCGTGATCGATCAAAATAGGTGTGGTTAGGGTTATCAATTGTGAGCTAGGGTTGATCGTCATCGCGATCGCAATGCTAGAGCGAACACTGTCGATCGTGACGTTAGTTTGGAGATTACAGCGCCATGGCGGTGGTGAGTTGTGGTTCTTTATCGTTCAATCGTCACGCCATCAATAGTGAGCTCTGGTTCGTCACCGTTCGATCGTCATGCAAATACAGTAATGAGCTAAGGCTTTGCCCCTATGGTTTGTGAGAGAAAGAGGGAGATAAAGAGAGAATAACTCAAAGAGGGAGATAAAGAGAGAATAACTCAAAAACCAATTTAAAAATCGCGATGGCGACGGGAGGGTTTTGCCCCTCTGGTTAGGGTTTCAAATCACGATTGCAATGGTAACGAAGAGAGTTTTAGATCGTAAGAGAGCGAGAGCGAGAGAGAGAGAGAGAGGGAGAGAGAGAGAGAGAACTAGAAATCACCTTCCTTCGTCGAAAATCACCTCCATTCGTTGGATATTGCCTCTCTGGTTTGTGCGAGAGACTGAAATGAGTGTGTTTTGGTTTATATACAAGGCACACTTGTAATAACTTGAAATTGTAAGGGGCATTTAAGTCATTTTGCCCTTAAATGGTAGTTGCGCACTTAACCTGTTTCGGAAAAGCTTCTCCTCTCCTACTCAAAGAAAAAGCTGATTTTTGACATACAAAAAGCTATAATCTGTATTAATAAGCTAAACCAAACACACCTAAATAGCTTAAATTAAGTTAAAAGTTGAAATAAGCTGAAAATAAGCCCTACCAAACAGGCCAAAGTTTGGCACAATATGGTTTTGTAAAAGAGTTATAGATGATTTTATCACAGATATTGTATATGCATATCATACTTGTATCTTTGTTAAGATTCATATATTGTGCTAAATTTTTTCTACTAGGCTTGAGCTCACCTTATATGGGAAAACATTTTTCAAGTGTTGGTGATATGCCTTCGCAAAGGGCTTACCTTGCGAGGATCGTGGAGCTGAAGGCTCACCCTTTTGTTCTTTTGTTTTGATAATGTACAAGCCTAGGGCTTTAATTATGATGAGTTTGACTCATTTTTGTTGTATCCAAGAAACGACTTGGAAAGATGTAAGCCAGTAATGTATATGAATATCTTTGTAGCTTTCATTCCTTATCGTATCTATCACTTTTGTATATTAAACTTTGATTAATGAAAGCGTGTTGTTTCAATTATACTTCCATTTATGAGAAGGGTTTGTTGTATTTATTTTGGGGCATTACATTAATTCCATGAACTCAACTCCAAAACACATTATCTTAATGGATTGAGGGTTAAATTCTTACCTAGAGCCTTCAAATTCACCAATTCTTGCACTATTTTGACTAACTCTAGCTAAACCTTCAAATTCTCCTTCAAAATCTCACTTTCTCTCTCTAGAATGTGAGTTCTCTCTCTCTCTCTCTCTCTCTCTCTCTCTATCTCTCTCTCTCTTCCTCAGATTTTCGCACTCAAAGTGATCAAGAATGAGCTCAAATGAGCTTAAGGCTCACTTATATATGTCTAGAAATTGCATAATACATTAATTAGAACATTAGGCTAATTAAACACAACTTAATTAATTAATCTGAATCAATTTTTTAATCTAACTTACCATCTCTAATCAAACTTACTATATGGTTCTAAAAATTCCAATTAGTCTATTCATGTAGTCGATTTCGATCAACGAGATTAAATTCATTATATAAGGTATGACTATGAAAAGAGAAAGAAGCCGAGCTACAAGAAAATTCCCACTACTACCATAGTAGCAGCATATGTAAGAGCTGAAATAGAAGTAGGCCCTTCCATGGCATCAGGTAATCATACATAAAGAGGGAATTGTGCAGATTTAGCAACTGCACCGGCAAATAATATAACGGCACACAAAATAACAAATAAAACATTGACCTCATTAGTATAAATCAAGTTATTGAATATTTCAAATAAATCTCAAAATTCGAAACTACTTGTTATCCAATAAAAACCTAAAATTCCAAATAATAAACCAAAATCTCCTACTCGATTAAGCAATTGCCGTAATAGGCCATAGTTCTGGATTGAGAAACAAGGGTGTAGTTCTGGTGATGAAAATCTGCTAGTGGTAAAGGGAAAAGACGAGGAAAAAGAATGTAGAGAGAGAGAGAGAGAGAGGCATTGCTTTGGAGAGAAAAGAGAGAATGAGGGGGTGGGTGAGAGTGAGAAAAGTTTCTGGATTGAGAAAGAGTAGAAATGAGAGGGAGAGAAGAAATGGGTGAGAATAAAAAAAAATGAAGAGAGAAGAAATGGTTTTGATCCCAAAAATAAAAATTAAAAAAAAAATGTATTGGTTAATTATATTTGTTTTTTAGAAAAAGTTTTAAACAAGTACCAAAAAAAAAAAAAAAAAAATCACTCAAAAAACTATATCCAAAAACCATCTAAAAATATATGAGGGATAGTTAGTTGAAATTGTGTCAAACTTGCTTTGTACCGTTAGAGCACTATTGCTATAATTTGACAATTTGTTACTATAGCATGCCAAATCATAACTTTGGCAATGTTATAATGTCATTTACCATTGAAGATGCCCTTACTTATAAAATAAGGTTCGAAAAGGATAAATTACCAATAGGTCCCGCATTTGGGACTTATTACCCATTAAGTTCTATTAATAAATTTATCAGTATCTCTTATTTTTATGAATAAATTTATAATGATAAATTTATCAGTCGGGACCTGTAAATAAATAAGTCTAATTAATAGAATTAATTGGTCAGTGCCCCTTAAAAAAATTACATGTGCTTAGTAAAAACCCTTAATTGCCCAAAATCCCAAGGGAAGAAAAGAGAATGACCGAGAAAAAATGAAGGGTTGAAATTATTTTGTAAAATTATATGAATAAAGCAATTAAAGTTATTTTGTAGAATTATATAAGTATTTATTAGTATTTTTATATTTAAGATCTGTTATAAGATCATAATCAATTACTAATATTAATTGTAAATTGTCAACATTGTAATTTTTATAAAATTTACTTGATACTGATTCGACTAGGGATATAAAATTACTAAAATAAGAATTGATAGAATAACTCAAGAAATTATATATTATTCACAGTAATTAAACTTAATATCTCAAATATAATATATATATATATAATAGAAATAAAAATAAATTAATATATATATATATATATATAAAACATTTAAACTAAAAAAAATAAATAAAAATTTAAAATATAAAAAGTGAATATATATTTTGAATTAACAACATTGCGTAAATAACAAAGAAATTTAGGGATGATATTACAAATTCTAAAATGGCTGAAGAGAAGATCCCTCCAGTGGGATCTAGATCCTTCCAAAAAGACCGCACCCAGGCACCGTGGTTTACAATAATGATTGAATTGCTCCGATTACGGGCCAATCTTGTGGTATAACGGTAACCGTTACGGTTTCACAGAAAACCCCGTTTCTCCAACACTAGTCTCTATATATACCACTACACTTCACCAAGAAAATTCCTCTCTCTCCCTCTCTCTGTCTCTACAATTTCAGCCCTTCACTCGCCACTCTCTCTCATCGTCTCAGAATCGATGGCAGCCACACTGATCTCCATCTCCTAACTCATACATCTCTCTCTCGATCATATATATTATGCCTTCTGTTGTTCTCATCATCTATACTATATTACTAATCTGTTCCACACCTGAGCAATCACTCTTTACATTCTTCAATCAACATCATCATAATCATCAAACTTCCAAATCTTCACCTCCGATCTTCAAGAATCGGAGCTTCAATTTCCTGATTTCCGAACTCAAACTCCCAACGCTAATCACCAATCACAACCTCTCACACTCTTACTCTTTCCACAAGATCAACCTCTTCTTCGGCCACTTGCTTCGTCGCAATCAAATCCTAAGCGTCCGATTCAAACCCTAGTTTCTGCAATGAGCTTCTTGAGGCCCTCTGTCTTGTACCGGTTTTTGTTGGTGACTTACCATTCACTCCGATGGATGCCTTGTCAGAGCTGGGTGTTTCTTCGCTGTCCTAGTCTTGACAGTTTTATTCGCCTTCTCATCATTGTGCTTTTATGGTCTATGTTTTCTGAAATTCGATACATTACATCTTCGTCCATGTACCCAACTCTTCGTGTTGGTGATAGGATCATCGTTGAAAGGGTATATCAAATTTTGGTTTTTTTTTCTTCTTGCTTGCTGATTAACATATATATATGTGTGTGCGCGCTTGCTTATGTTTGGAATTACAAGTAAATTGCAACCCTTAAATCAGTTGTGTTAATTGGATTTATTTAGGGTTTAGTGTGGGCCTGTGTTACATGGACTCTTCTATTTGCTCCTGATTACCCGTGTTCACCGGATATGGCATCAAATTTGCTATTAAAGTAATATTTTTAGTCTCTCACATGAATTGGATATCGAAATTTCATATTCTTTTTTTAAACCTATTTAATTTCTAGGATATTTTTGGGTGTTTCTTCGCTGTCCTAATCTTGACAGTTTTATTGGCCTTCTCATCATTGTGCTTTTATGGTCTATGTTTTCTGAAATTCGATACATTACATCTTCGTCCATGTACCCGACTCTTCGTGTTGGTGATAGGATCATCGTTGAAAGGGTATATCAAATTTTGGTTTTTTTTTCTTCTTGCTTGCTGATTAACATATATATATATATGTGTGTGCGCGCGCGTGCTTATGTTTGGAATTACAAGTAAATTGCAACCCTTAAATCAGTTGTGTTAATTGGATTTATTTAGGGTTTAGTGTGGGCCTGTGTTACATGGACTCTTCTATTTGCTCCTGATTACCCGTGTTCACCGGATACGACATCAAATTTGCTATTAAAGTAATATTTTTAGTCTCTCACATGAATTGGATATCGAAATTTCATATTCTTTTTTTAAACCTATTTAATTTCTAGATATTTTTACATAATTTGCAACATCTCATCCGAGAATATTATGTAATATGTAATATATATGTGTATATGACTCGTCCCTTTACCCATATTCAATTTCGGATTTGTATTTCAAGTTCCTAAGATTTAAATTTAAATTTATGAAAGTCTGACAATTGGATACACACCCACACACCCAATACTCCTACTTGAGTCCATATAACATAGGTATGTGCACAATGGCTTGCGAAGTTTGATGAATAATTTTTCCACTTGCTTTATTGCTTTCCTAAATTGCTGACCCTGTGTGGGCTGTGATGAGTTCTAATTGTTTTTAGGATTCAAATGGCATTTATTATCATTTTGTTGTTTAATGACAAGATGTATATACTTTGCTTGGATTTTTCTGTTAAGTTTACTTCTAGTCAAATTTTAAGTGATTTCTATTTATAGAATTATCACACAGGGCCACTAGTTATTCCTCTTTATGATGTTGAATCCGTAATCTATTAGTTCTCTGACCCAATTTTGTGAACTGAGACTCAAGCAATCTAAATTTTCACACATTTCAACAAATGCCAAAGGGTTGTTCGTTTGAAATGATTCCTACTTCATAAAAGCAGTAATTTGTTGTCTCCATCCCTGCAGTAATTGCATCTCATGAGCAGGACGGCACTTTTTATTCGAAACTAATTAAAAAATATATGCAACTTTAATTTATACTTGGTAGGTACTTTATGCATATTTTTCCTCTCTGCCTTTGGCAGATTTGTGCTGTGTTTGGCCCTCGTTACTCATAACTAATGCTCAATTGTTAAGACTGTTTAAACGAGTGTGTATTATTAATTATTATTATTATTATTTTTATAGCATTGATAGGTTTTTTAGCCATATTGGACATAATAATCACTGTTTGTAGGCTTCATTCATGCATTTATCTACATGATTCTTCTGTGTCCCTATTCTTGTGTGGCATTATGTCTTATATTGCCATGATTCTTGAAGAATTATGTAACCTCTCACGCATTTGAATTCATGCATTTATCTACACATTCTTGGTTTGTATGCTATGTTTCTTGATTTGGATGATACTTTTCCTGAAATTGACATTGAGATCAGCAATCACATGAGACAGGCATTTATGTTACAAACATCCAATTTCTTCATTCAAGCACCCATATATAGAGAGACATTTGGTCAGTGGAATCTCATGGAGCTAAATGACCTGGCAAGAAGTCCAGAATGACATCAGTTAGATTAGTGAGATGCGGTTTGCTATTATATTATTTAACTGAATAAACTACTAAAATGGTGGAATAGTAGAAACTTTTGTTGACTCCACATGCTGTGCATGGCATGGCATTATCGATAGATTTTAAGAAGTCATGTTTTATTTTAGCAATTCGAGAAGAATTCTTGAATGGAAACGTGGCACCAAAATAACAAAGAGTATGCTTAATTTGACATGCTCAAGTTATGGTAGTTTAGTAATACTGATTTTGGTAATTCAAACTAAATCTTATCAACCCAACTGGAGGCTTGAAGCACCATTTATACACCATGAGAAGCACGAAGACGGACACAAGACGTGACAGAGACACACTAACACAACAATTTTCAAAAAATACAAGACAACACACATGGGAGCACACACAATTTTTAAATTTATGTATTTATTATGTCATATTATATATATATATATATATATATCAATAATAAAAAAAAAATTACACTACAACACTCATTTTTAATGTTTAAAGCTAATAAGTATAAATCTACATTATTTTACTTTTGATCATTGGATCCTAGGTTATTTTGTGCAAACTTGTAATTTGTTTCATGTTTCCTGAAGTTGATGGACACATGTGTCTTCCAACTGTCCTAAGCATGTTTAGGTGTTTAACACATGTTGGGAAGCGATCACACCATATTCTTAGAAGTTTCTGTATTTTTTAGTAGATTGACACATATAGACCATGTTTTTCTAGTTTCAACATAGGCTAGTGCCTTGGCAGTTGGCTGGTAGACTGTCTGAATGCACTGGCACTTGTATATTACTAAACAGGACCTCTTTTGATGCTCGTATCTAGAGTGACTACAGAAGGATCATAGGTCTATGGTTCACAAAGCATGTTACCCAATGATTTAATTCTTGTTCTAATTTTAACAAATTATGGAAAGGTAGTTCGATGCTGTCTAGAATACTTAGTAATTCCTTCTACATGCCATACTATATGCAAGACATGCATGAAACAAGAGGAGGATCTCCCCGTAAAATTCATGAACTTTCCCCCCAAATTTTTAAATCTGTATTAGAGCACAAAAGGTGACAGTCCTTGGAGTGCTTGAGCAAAGTATGATCCAGTCACACTTGAAGTCTAAAAAGAAACAATTATGAAAAATATTTGAGTGGAGCTACTGGAATATATGTGTACTGCTGCTAGTGTTGGGTGTATTGCTGAAAACGCTCTAGTAGATTGCCATTATGATTCTGGTCAGAATATTGATGACTCTAATTGTGAATGTTTTTATGTTATTGGTGGCATATGTAATTAATGGAATTAGTAATTCTAATGAAAATATGGTTACTTCATAACTTCTTCAGGCTTCATATTACGTCAGGCGTCCTGCTATACATGATATTGTTATTTTTCGAGCTCCTGCACAGGTTTGTTGCTTCAGAAGATAATTTGACTACATGTTGTTTGCTGAATTTATTTTGGTGCTTTTGGAATCTTTTGCTGAAATTTTGTTATCTCCCTGACTATTCTACAGCAACCTGAGTTCATGGAGGAAGAGATTTTCATTAAAAGAATAGTAGCGAGAGCAGGAGACTCAGTTGAGGTATAACCCTCACAACCTGCACTGGATAATGGGCATGCAATTAAATGGCATGACATGATAACACGAATATTTAATGGGTTAGGTTAGTGTTGAACTTTTATAACATAAAGTTGACACATATACCCGTTCAATAAAGAATTAGTTACACATTTTAAAGTTATTTCCACTAAGGGGTTCAATGACATTTTTGAATCTATTATATAACTCAATCCAATTGATTAAAAGAATTATGTCTGCTATTTTAAAGTTGATAAGAAAATATAATAGTAGGCTTTCGTTTTTATGAGGGGGATTTGGTTAAAGCCCCCTCATAATAAAACTTTAATGCATTAAGGACAAGCACAAAAAGTTTTCTTCTAAAAGTTCAAGACATACCACTATTATCAAAATATTAAACTTTAAAATAATATTAAAGTATTTTTAATAAAATACTTTAAAGTTTTCCTTTGATGTAAATGTCGGTTTTTAATAAAATTAGTTTTTTTAGAATTCTTTCATCAAGATCTATCAAATAAGATCCATATTGACTATGTAATTTTTAAAAATAAGTAAATAAATAAATTTATTACCATTGAAATCAAGGTTCTGAAAAGCGGTTGCGGTTGCCGTAACGGTGACGGTGGAGCGGTTGCGGGGTGTAAAGGCCGTAACGTAACGGTTGTGGTAACCGGAATTGTGAATTTTTTTATTTTTTGCACAATTTGAAAAAATTTTACCGATACGCATATTTTTTTTCCATAATCATTTTTATTGGGTTTTAAAATAAATATTGATCAATTTTTTGTAAATTTTTAAGTATGATCTAATATATTTCATATTTTTAAATCACTATAAGCTGAGTTTTTTTACATTTTATTTTAATAATTAATGACTTTATATATCATAAATCCATAATACGCTTGTGGCAAAAAAAATAATTATTGGACTTAGATGTATAAATTTATTTATTTTTTAATTATTATACTTGTGGAAGCATATAGTTTTAAAAAAAAATAAATTATACATGCTAATGTAATCATATAAAAATTTAAAAATAAATTATGAAGATTTTTTTTTTTTAAGCTATTGATGTTATTTATTTTTTTATAAAAAAAAATTGTGCCATAAAAATTGTTATCACAACACATTAAGTAATAAATGGGTTGGGTTAGTGTTGAGTTAATTGCAACACAAACTTGAAATGACATGACATTAATACGACCAACACAGCACGATGCCCGCCCCTACTTTTGCTTAACAAAAAGGAAAATGTTGCTTCTTTGAGAATTTATTGGAAATTACTATTTTAATTTGACTGTGCAATGTAATCAGTCTGATCCGATTACTATTTTACATAATGGTTGGGTTTGGATTGTTAATTGAACTTGGCAACGATATAGTTAATTTTGACAAACAAGAAGTTTGTTGCGGGTCTCTGCCTCATTGCCGGCCTTTGGGTTTATTAAGGTCTCGTTTGGGAACAGGCTAATTTAGTAACTTTTTGGCTATTTAGCTAAAATATGAGCTAAAAAAAACTAATATGTTTGAGATGACTTTTTTTTGGCTTTTTACGAAAAGATGTGCAAAAAGTAGAGAGAAGAGAATCTTTGACTTTTTGGTATGGGTTGTTGGCTTTTTGGCTAATTTAGTAACTTTTTTGGCTTTTTGGCTAAAAATGAGAGTTTTCAAATGAGGCCTAAGTCACCTTGACTAATGACTAGCTGGACATGTGTTAGTGGCTTGCACTGCAGGCTTGGTTCATAGAAAAAATTATGCTTATTATTGTTCATTTAATACTTATTATTGTCTAACTGGTTGAATGGAAGTAATATTGGAGAGGTTCTGTTGTTGGGTTCTTCTCATGAAATGTTTTCATCCAATAACTTTCAGGTTCATCACGGGTCACTTTACGTCAATGGGATTGCTCAGAATGAAGATTTTATAGCAGAACGACCAACATACCCATTGAATCTAATCGTGCGCCTAGTTTTGTTATCTTATTTATTGCATACTTATCCGACATCTTTTCTGGCCAGCATAACATGTTCTTGAACACAATTATGGGGTAAAACTGCTGGGGTCTACAATAATATAATACTTGCACGTGTTTGGCCCACTTATGAAAGGAAGTTTGGCCACACAAGAGGGGGCATGTTGGAGAATATAAATAATAGAGTTGCCTCTCTTCTTAACAGGTTAAACTTTAGATGAGTTCGTGGTTAATCATTTAACATTGTATCAAAGCATGTAATAGGTCATGTGTTCAAGCCTTACCACTTACTTGATATTATTATGATTATTATTATTTTCAAACAATATATAGACAGATACACACAAACAAAATGGTTGAGTGAGAGCAGCCGAATAGAATAGCATAGGTTTTATAGTTTTAACAAATCAATAACATATTTTTCATCTTCCCTCTTATCTCTCTCTCTCTCTCTCTCTCTCTCTATCTCTATCTCTTGCTTCTCCATCTTCCCTCTTCATCATCCCTCTTCCCCCATTTTCATTTTTTTTTTTTTTTTTTGGGTTTTTTTTAAAGAAGCAGTTCGAAACTGTTACGTAACGGTGCGTAATAGGCCATTACGGCCGTTATAGCACCATTACGACCGCTACGGCTGACACACCTGTGAATCTCAATCACATTGCAAAAGCTGCCGTAACGGGTGGCGGTAACCACCACAATCGTTACGTAATGGTTGGGTCATATTCAACGGAGAACAACAGAGGCAGTAGTGAAGAGATGCAATGCTGTAACGATAGATGGAAGTGTTAGGGGACGGGGTAGGCCTAGATTAACGTTGACTAGCTTTATAAATAGAGATATGAATCTACTTAATTTGACTAATGAAATGGCCTTCGATAGGGCCGCGTGGAGAAGAAGGATTCATGTAGCTGACCCCATTTGATGGGACTTAAGGCTTGGTTTGGTATGGTTTGGTTAACATTGTCCAAGGAAGAGAGAGAGAGAGAGAGATTTGCTCAATTATGTGTTTTCTTCTTAAGGGGTAATGGTGGGGTTTTGGCTAAATTTTCCTTTTTATTTTTATAAATTAGGGCGATGGAATTGAGTTGAAATCAAATATTTTTTTATGAATAATTTCATCTTGTAGAGATTAATTTAATTAAATTTAACTTGCGAAAAAAATAAAATAAAAAATAAAATCCATACACTTGGTATAATTAATTAAGGGGGAGATTTTTTGACATGACACGAACCGGACATGGACTGAAAATGACATGACACCATAACACGAAATAATAAACGGGTTGGGTTAGTGTTGAGTTAATTGCGACACAAACCTGAAATGACATGACATTAATATGACCAACACAGCACGCCGCCCACCCCTACTTTTGCTTAACAAAAAGGAAAATGTTGTTTCTTTGAGAATTTATTGGAAATTACTATTTTAATTTGGCTGTGCGATGTAATCAGTCCGATCCGATTACTATTTTACATAATGGTTGGGTTTGGATTGTTAATTGAACTTGGTAACGATATAGTTAATTTTGACAAACAAGAAGTTTGTTGCGGGTCTCTGCCTCATTGCCGGCCTTTGGGTTTATTAAGTCATCTTGACTAATGACTAGCTGGACATGTGTTAGTGGCTTGCACTGCAGGCTTGGTTCACAGAAAAAATTATGCTTATTATTGTTCATTTAATACTTATTATTGTCTAACTGGTTGAATGGAAGTAATATTGGAGAGGTTCTGTTGTTGGGTTCTTCTCATGAAATGTTTTCATCCAATAACTTTCAGGTTCATCACGGGTCACTTTACGTCAATGGGATTGCTCAGAATGAAGATTTTATAGCAGAACGACCAACATACCCATTGAATCTAATCGTGCGCCTAGTTTTGTTATCTTATTTATTGCATACTTATCCGACATCTTTTCTGGCCAGCATAACATGTTCTTGAACACAATTATGGGGTAAAACTGCTGGGGTCTACAATAATATAATACTTGCACGTGTTTGGCCCACTTATGAAAGGAAGTTTGGCCACACAAGAGGGGGTATGTTGGAGAATATAAATATAGAGTTGCCTCTCTTCTTAACAGGTTAAACTTTAGATGAGTTCGTGGTTAAATCATTTAACATTGTATCAAAGCATGTAATAGGTCATGTGTTCAAACCTTACCACTTACTTGATAATTATGATACTTACACGTGTTTGGCCTGTTTGTGAGGGAGAGTTTGGCCACATGTGAGGGGTAGTGTTGGAGAGATAAAAAATCAAAGTTCCCCGTCTCTCTATTAGTTTGAGCTTTTAAACGAGTTGGTGGTTAACAATTTAACAATCGGCACCTTGTCACTAAATAATGGACTGCATTCTCTGACAACTCAGATCTTACATTGTGTGCTTAGCGTGGTCCTGTTTTTGTTCTCTACTGCATTCACCTTTCTTTTTTAATCTGCAGACTGTGCCTAGAGGTCATGTTTATGTTTTGGGTGACAACCGTAATAACAGCAATGATTCGCATAGTTGGTTAGTATTTTGAGCCTCACTGTTTGAGCATTTTTTATGCTTCACCTTCTTTATTTATTTTTGTGATTGACTTCCTTTATTTTTGGTGCTCTTATTTTGAGATTGCATTTCCACAACTGATAGAATGCTCGTTTTGAGAGCAATATTTGAACCTCTAAAATTCCTTAGCTGCAATTTAAAGAATGATATTTTTTTGGATACCCGATGGTCATTTTTTCCTTTCTTATTTAGAATTTTAAAGCCAACAACTTTATTTTATTTAATTTTTTTTTTCTCTTCCTGGTTTGTAAACAGGGGACCGCTTCCTGTAAAAAACATTGTTGGAAGGTTTGTCATGCGTTGTCACAAGCCTTCAGGCACCAGTCCACATGAGGACAAAAGATGAACATGAGGTACTGGTACTTTCTCTTATGATTTTTTTTATTTTTTTACTTGATAGATGTGCTAAAAACTTAGAAGGCCAACATGGTTTACATGCATGAATTTCAACATCTATGTTGTTGGTCTGATCTATGACTTCATCCTACCTGTTGACTTATGATTGGATTTTATTTTCTTTTTTGGTCTATATAAAAATGATCTACTGTAATTTGCCTGATGAAGAATGGGTTAAAAATTGAATTGTGGGTTCTTTACCGTGTACGACATTGTTGCCTGTGTTTATTCCTTTCTATTAACCTCTTGGTAATTTGGGTTGTGCATTACTTTTCCTACTATGCTTTGTAAGTTGAGCTAATAAAGTTTTCAAACTTCTTATAAACGTGATGGACAGATTGAAGGGGATCCTTGGCTTAATTTCAACCATGACGGGTTTGGGTGACATTTATATATTAGGCGAGTACTTGTACCATGTTTGGTCAGAGTAGGGTAAAACATGTGATAAAACAAAGAAGATTGTTTCTGGCCATAAAATAGAGGGGAGAGATAGTGCAGGATAATGAATACCAATGGGGGTTGACATTTGTTATCCCTTTTGGGGGGATATGGCGTCCAGTCGGAGACAATAGGTGCCCTTAAAATGCAACCAGTCATTGAGGGACATTGGGGTGTCCACAAAAAAAAAAAAAGAAAAAAGAAAAAAATACAAGTGGAATCCACAAGATTTGAAATCCTTATATCAGTCCATATTCGGTGAACAAATTGGGCCTATGTATTGCACACACCAATTTGCCATTGAAATAATAATTGGATATTGGTGTAGGACAGATCCCAATTAAGGCAGCACTACGGTCAAAAGTAGTGCATTACCCAATTGGGACCATAAGAAAAAAGGTAAATTACAAATACTCCCTAAGGTTTACTTAAAATACGATTGTCCCTTGTGATTTGGAAAATTATAAATATTCCATTGTCAGAATTTTTTATGTAACAGAATTAATTGAAAAAAAATAAAATTTCTAACTGCTCTCTTATACAATAATAAAATTAGCTAAATTATTAATTGAAATTTATTTATGAAATCATTAAAAACTGTTCATTGACTTGATGATTTATTGATAAATGGGGCTATTTGTTATGAAATTAGTAACTTTAAAGGGGGCAAGATGTAATTTCTAGAATCACAAGAGTCAATTCGTATTTTAAATAAATTTCAAGTGGTATATTTGTCATTTACTTGAAAAAGAAAAAAGAAAGAATGGGTAAATTACATTTACCTCCCTTGAGATTAGTATAATTGTAGATATCTCCCTCCAGGTTTCAAAAATATCGACCTTCCTTACTTTTGAATCTATTATATACATTCTCCCTTCTATTAACTTAGCTGCAAATGGTGTTAGAAATGATGATAAAATAACTAAAATACTCTTATATATTAATCCAACCCACCCCTCTCACCGGCTGCCCTCTCTCTTTCTTCCTCCTACTACAAAGCCAACCATCATACAACCCCACCACCACATCTTATTATCTTTTACCACCACCCCCATGAATCCTCATGCCCTTGTTATAGATAGAAAGAGAAAATCCATAAATACCCAAATCATCAATTGGGACAGAGAACTCCCAGTCCTAACTGCAAATGAATGTAAATTCAAAATTCCCAATTTGTACAAATTCCCAAATTCAAAATTAAAATCCCCAATTCGCAGAGCTTGCCCAAAATCAAAATTTCTAATTTACCTCTCACACAGCCCTTCAATCCTGGTAACGATTTATGGCTAGTTTGAGATGTGAATCTCAACCTTTGCTTTTCTTTATCAATGGTGGAAGGGGTGTCTAACGTTTTTCTTCATGAAGGGTGGGAAGGGTGTCTAAGGCTGCTGAGAGCCATTAACGATAGACATGATGGACCAAAAAGCTGGTCATGGGTACTTACAAAAGCAAATATTTTTTTTATAGTATGAAAGGGTTTGATCTTTGCCATGATGAATTTTGCTTCTGCGTCTTCATTTGGGATTGCTTTGTTGGGTTTCTTTTTCTCTTGACTGTTGAGAGGTTTGTAGGGTTAGAAAATGGAGTTTGGGAAATTGGGAAGTAAATTGACTAAATAACTGTAATGGTGTTGATGGGTAAGGGATGATTTGGGCTTTTCCTTCATTATTTGGTCTTTTATCATTTATTTTTTTATTCATTTAGAAAGTAGCTAACAGAAACAAATAAATAAAGAAGACAAATGAGGGCAATCTTGGCATTTAATGATTTGAAATATGTGACATCATCATATTCTGTCATAAATGCTAACAAACATCTAACTGTGGATTAATTTGTATAGTAATTCAAAAGTAAGGGAGGTCAATGTTATTTTTGAAACCTGAGGTGAGGCATCTGCAATTATGCTAAACCTCAGGGGAAGTAAATGTAATTTACCCAAAGTATTGATTAACTAAACAAATAATTTTATCCTCAACAGTGGGCCAAATTTTTGACGATATTTTCTGATTAGTCGGAGTGAAGTTAAAAGATATTGACTTTATACACAACAAATAAAAAGAAAAAGATTTAGCCTAGCCCCTAAATATAAGCTATGATTTGGATTGCATAAAACATTAAATGGTTATTACAACACAAAAATAGATGTCTCGGGGATCAAATCATAGTAGTAAAAAAAAAAAAAAATTTATTGCCTCAAGTGTCTCACATTTGAGCTTGAGATGAGCCCCCCAGTCTTAGTCACCTCGCCTGGGGCTACTTTGAGGCACTAAAGCTTTTGGTCACCTTGCTTCTTACTTAAGCCCTCGCTTAGGTGCACTTTTTAAAACACTGCCAAAAACAATCAAATTTCAGCCCAGATAAGTATGACAATTGATTTGATGGATTTGATCTCATTGAAAATCAGTAAAACGAAAGAGATTACCAATAGAAGCTGAATCAAGCAAGAAGTTCCAACCAGATTAACCATGAACTCAACTTTAGTTCAATTATTTGCTTCTAACTATAAGTTGAACCCCCAATGCAATACACACTGCATATTGAAGCTAAAGCCACGTCTCAGACCTTGAATGAACCTACAAATATGTACATGATTCCTGCTTGCCATCCAAATGTAAATGGTAATTTTACTATTATTATGTTTTTTAACATAAACAATCTTAACTCTTAGGTCAAATGAAAATTGTATTGCGTTTTAACAACGAAGAAATATCATGTTCAAGCAAAATGCCTATAATTTGGTAGTTACAAGCCACTATTAATGAAATATTAGTTGATGTAATCAAAACCCATCAAGTTCATACACAGTGCGAGACACCTATGAAGCACAGACATGACACTTGTTGAACACGCTAGAGGAAGTGTCCCATTTATTTATTTATTATTATTTTTTTTTTTCCAGTCAGACATGATAGGGACATGCAAATTAATGGACACATGTGGGACACAGTGTCCCATTTTATTGTTATTATGTTTTACTAGAGTAGCATATTAAAGGTTGATAAATTTGATGAAAATAAATATTTGACATGAAATAAATGCATAATATTCAAATATATGACATAATAAATATATGAAATTGTATATATTTGATGTCCATCAGTTGCATATCTTCAAACTCTTCTGATGTGTTGGTTGTGTGTACCATAATCTTATCAAGGGTTACACATCTCTGATTCCCAGGGCAAACTAGAGATGCAGGGAAACCCATCTTTCCCTCTCTTTTCTTCCCCTCCTTGTTTCTTCTCTAGTCCTCTCTTGATGGAGCCTAACACTTTCAAAAATACACGCACAATCAATTTTGTATCATCAGAAATATTCTCTCTGTCCCAAAATATTAATCTCTTATTTTATTTTTCATTGTCTTAAAATATTAGTCCTTTTTCAAAAGTCAAGTACAAAAATAATATAAATTTTTTATTTTGTCTTTCTTTTAAATTCATTAACAACATAAAAAGTATAGTTATGACATTGATATTTCCTAAAAAATGTACTATCAAAGGGTAATTTTGAAAAATTAATTTTTTTAAAGTGTAATAATTGTACTATCAAAAAAGTTAGATTTTTCAAAAGGGACCATTATTTTGGGACGGTGGAAGTATGTACAAACACTTTTATATCTCCAAATTTTCTCAGACATGCTAATACTTTATACATATGAATAGGCACTTCCCTAGTTCACATTCTGTTGATGCTTTATGCCATATTGTAATTTTTTTTCCTCATGTAAGATTCAATTTATTTAATGTCATCTTCATATTCTATTTGATTTGGAGGAAGGGTTGTTTGTTTGTTCTATTGTTGGTAGTTTTGTATGATTGGATTGAATTTTGACATAGTGTAGGTTGAATATAGAAATTGGAGGATATAAAATCTTTTTATTTTTAATATTATGTAAATAATTTGTGATTGTGTCAATCGCTAATTTAGTATTGTTTTCTTATTTATGTCGTTTCCTAAATGTATCATGAATGTATTATATATATAATATATATGGCCTCTATCTCATTCATGGGTAAGTTAAATAATTCTTTTCATTCTTTTTGTATCATTCTTTTTGTATTAGAGTTAGGTTAAGTACCTAGTAATTTTGTTTCACACTAGCATGACAGGGAGTGTTGAATATAGAAATTAGAGTACATAGAATTTTTTTTATTTTTAATATTATATATATATATATAATCTGTGATTGTATCAATCATTGATTTAGTATTGTTTCTGTATTTATATCATTTCTTAAATTTTATCATGAATCTATAATATATACATGACCCCTACCTTATTCATGGCTAAATCAAATAATTCTTTTTATTCTTTTGTATACTGGTCTGGGTTTAGATTGGGTATACAAGTTTTGAATGATTGGATTTGGTTTGACTGGGGGTAAGAAAGGATGTCTGACAATGCAGAGAAGTGGCCAGAGAAGATGACAAATGGTGTATGTGGAGTAAAGGTGCAAAGAAGATAGGATTAAAGGGGGAGTGATTTGGTTAGGAGTTTTGACTATCGTGTTTCAAATGGGTAAAAAAAGAAATAGGAAAACCGAAGTAACAGAAGTTGATACACTGTTGCCCTATTTATAACAAGTCAATGAGTATATATAGCTTGTTTAGCCAAGATTCATTCTGTTATGCCTCTTGCCTTCCTTCTGCTCTTCCCATTCACAGTGGTCCATTATGTTTCTTTTCCATCTATGTTATAATGTTTTTGAAACTTCAATATCACCATGAAACAAGAAAGTTTTCCACTTTATGTCTTTCAGGTTCCTTGGAATAATTGTATCGGATTGGCGAGAACTTGTAATCCATTTAAATTCAAGAAGTTAGTTGGCTGCTCTGCCTGTGGATAAGGAAGAGATTGGGAAGCATCATCAGCATCTTCAATGAATGGATCTGTCTGTGTTGATGAAGTTGGATCATTCTGGAATTCTGAAAATTGGCATATCATCAAGTAGGTGTAGGTTACAAATTGGGATTTAATCCTGAATGACTCATCCAACTCAGACAAATCAATTCACTCAACCATATACCCAAAATGCAGCGCCATTGCTTGTTAAGAGAAATATTTTAGTGCAGACTGCCCTATGAATATAGGGGTGGACTAAGGATCCATTGAATGGCAAATTGGGGATAAAAAATTGTTGTAAATTGGGCTAATTTGTTAACACTAATTAAGTATTTTGATTTGTACTGTGTGATTCAACTTGCAAAAGGCAGGGCACGAAAATTGTTTGGTTGATTTTTGAGAACTTATTTTTTGATTTAAAAAAAAAATAGTTTGGCAAAAATAAATGTGAAAAAATATTTTTGAAATTATAGATATCTAACTAATTTAATTTTTTTTTATCAATAATTTATTTGAAAAACTTTATAATATAAACGGTTTAAATAAAGCTCGAGCCAATGGGTCGTAATAGCACCCCACTGGTACAACACGCTCTCCAATGGGCCAAAATAGCACCGTATTGGTACAACACGCTACCCAATTCTTGGATATTAAGGCACTGCTAGGGAAGACGCAATTTTAACAAAATAAAAAATAAAACAAAAAAATTAACTCATTTTATCCAAAAAAAAAAAGGTAAAAATCTAAAAATCACTGGAAGATTTTATTCTCAAACATTTTTGGGATGTGTTATATAAGTGTATTTTTATGATTTTTTTGGCTAAAAAAGTAGAGAAAAAATGTATATTTGAGATAGTTTTTTAATTTTTTATAAAAAAATGTGTAATAAAATATTGTAATAAAATTAAAATGACTGTTCTACTTTTATTGATTTTTTTACTTTCGGATAGTTGAATTTAAAGAGCAAAATAATAATTTTGCTCTCTAGACTTTCCTCACAAGTTTCTTTCATATAGTATGGATTTTTTGATTTTTTTAATAATTTTTTGATTTTTACAGATTATCCCAAACAAGGCCGTCTCATAGTAAGAAAAATTATTAAGTGATTGACCATTCGTTTTCTTATTTCTTCACCAATCACCAAATGCCAAATTCACCTAAATGTCCCTATTATTCCACCATATTCTTATAAAAAATGTTATGATTGCAATCCTATCACAAATTATATAAATTGAATATAAATTAACAGAAGTTCGTAAAAACTTAAAATTTATATAAATTTATGTTTAATTTATACATTTTTATAAAATTACTTATATAAATTTATAATAAAATTTCATATGATGTGCAATTCATATGGGAGAATTTTTCTATTCCCTAATCCTTCAAAAATCACCAAAATGCCAAATTCCGCCAAGTTTTCCCTATTATTCTACCCTATCCCAACACAAAATAATAAGTGATGTCCCTTCACCATTTCACAACAGTTTGGTAATTGGAGAGTGAGTGTGTCACAATCTCTCCATAAGCGGTGCAATGGGTAGGGGGGGAGATGGGACTGCAATCCACGGCCACTTGAGGGCGGCTGTGAGGGCGACTATTTGGTGACCAAAACGCTCAACTCTCCAACCCCTATATAAGCCTCGTTTGATAATTTTTAACTTTAGTTAAAAAATTAAGATCTCATTTGGTAATATTATTTTTAGTTTAAAAATTAAAAAATAATTAAAAAAATTAAAAAGCCAACAACATATATTAAAAAATCAAATGTTTCATTTTTTTTTTATTTTTTGTACATATTTTCGTAAAAGATTAAAAAGTCATTCCAAACAGGAGTTGGGATGTACACAACAGGCACTGTTATGCGGCCTTATGGGCTTATTTTGGAGTCCTTTTTGATAATTTGAACCGTTTACATTTTAAAATATATCGAGTAAAACAAACCTATAAAAAATTAAATTAATTGGATATTGTTAACTCTTTCATCCACTCACATTTGTATTCATTTTAATACTTTAAATCACAATGTCATTTATTTCTGAAAATACAAATGTGAGTGGTTGAAAGGGTTAACAATATTCAATTAACTTAATTTTTTACAAGTATGTTGTACTCGATGTATTCTAAAATATGAACAGTTCGGATTATCAAAAAGGATCCCGAAATAAGCCCATAGGGCCAGCACAGCAGGCACCCCAAATCCTCCCAAACATACTAATTTTTTTTATATTATATTTTAATTAAAAAGTTAAAAAATTATTAAAAAATATATTTTCAAACGAGACCTAAATTATCATATCATTTTATTATTTTTTTATATAAAAATTAAAATATTATTAAAATAACATGTTAGTCAGACAGAATTAGAGTATAGCTGAACCAACCGAAAACATCAGCAGGGAGGTGAAGTGATTAAGCCTCCGTTTGGGAAGTGGGTTGGCTTTTTGGCTTTTTTGGCTATTTTAGCCTGGGCTAAAAAGCTTGGTTTGGGAAGGACTTTTTGACTTTTTGACTTTTTTGACTTTTTTTGTGAGAGAAGATTTAGGTGGCGACTCTGTATCTGGCAAAGCAGTCCATGTTTGGCACTTCTTTCAAAATCTGTTTTCTCAAAACGATTTGCCGGATTTGGACTCTTTGGTTCAGACTTAGAACCGTGACAAATTTGAGAGTCCTGAGTTGTAGTGACCCCAAATGAACAGAACGGGAGCTCGTTCCTCCCGGGGCGTTCGGGGACGTCTACACAACCACACAAGAATGTGATTTCCTTTCAAATGAAATTCAAATCCACATCCACATCAAATAGAATTTAATTGACTTCAATTGAAGCCTTCCAATGCAGATAAAAAATTAAAAAACATTACAGAGAAAATAAATGTAGGAGATAATGCAATTGAAGACAAAGACAAACATACTTAAAGTACCAAATCCAGGGGAAAATGAACAATTTTTTGAGTGGATCGTGATTTCGACCTGTTGAATCTAGTGGTTCGGCATAAGAATTGTTGTTAGATCTGAAGCACCCATGAACAATTCAATCAATTCAAAAACATACATCAACAAATCTACTGATCCAAGTAAAATATACTCACCTGAAATCGATAGGTTAAATTCAAATCCAACAGAATTGTTCAAACAGAATTCAATTTGCAGGGAAATCACGATTGTAAGGAAATCATGATTTCAGAATGACGATTTCATTTCAGAATTCAAATCGTGTTCAAACAAAATTTCAATTTGAAGGGAAAACACGATTTCAGAATTCAATTTTGGAGCAAATCGTGATTTCGATCTGTTGAATCGAGTGGTTCGGGATACAAATTGTAGTTAAATCTGAAGAAAATTGTCAAAATTTGAACAACAGTGAAAGCAGAACCTATTTCCTCCGAATGTGAAATACAACAGAGAGAGACCAAAATTACCTTGCGAAGGGAACAACCGAGGGTGGGAGAGAGGGAACCTTGCGAGTGGTGGTGATGAGCAGCGGCAAATCGACTTCAACAAAGACAACAACGATGAACAACAGAGCTAGATTGAAGATGTATTTTGGGAAAAAAAATACAACAGAGAGAGGGAAGAGGACAGGAATAGAGGTGGTCGATGGCCGCGATGGTGGTGATCGAGAGAGAGGGAGAGAGAGATAAAGAGGAAATGGGGAGATAGGTGATTTTGGTGGTTCTGTTCAAGAAGAAGAACAGAGAGGAAGAGAGATAAATAGGGAATGGGGTGGAGACGTGAGAACAGAGAGGAGAGAAAGATAAAGAGAGAAGGTGGGGAAGAGATGTGGGTATGTGGGAAGGGTAAGGTAGAGACGTGTTTAGCCAGCTGTGAGAGAGAGAGAGAGAGAGAGCAGAAAGTGTTTGGGCGGGAAAAAAATTCATCACAACCGTTGGATATTGATTAGGAATTATCTCAGCCATTTAAATGAAATGTATCTCTGATACATTTTATATATTTTCAAAAACTGTTGTATCTTACTATATAGATATTATTGAATTGAAATTTTAACAAAAATTACAATTCAATTTAATCTAATTTTTATTTGGGTTATGATTGAGACCCCTTTCAATCACCACTCCTACCACCCCACACACACACGTGGCAGGGTGGTGATTGGAGAAGGAAAAAAAAAAAAAATTGGCTAATCATGTTGAGAGGGGGTCAAGGGGGTGGGGGGAAGGGTGTCCGGGTCATTATTGTTTTTATTTGATTATAAGACTAAAAATTAGTACGATGTAAAAGATATATTTAAACACACGTTCAAGTTAACTGATCCATTATCTTTATTGTTATTAATTTGATTTTGTGTATGGTGGCCATCAAGGATTACAAAAAAATCACATGCCTTCATAAAATATGATAGCAAATTATATTAAGATACACATACAAAAAGAAATATAGGGTGGGAGAGAGTAATAGATTTTTTTGTCATTTTGAATCACTGAATTATATGGCAATATATTATTAGTTGTCATTAATTGTGTAACAATTATTTGTAAATAAATTAACCAATTATGAGTATTCATATAAGATGTGATATAAAATAGTGACATATAATATATTTCTAATGTACAATTTATAAGAATTTTTTTAGCATAATTAAGTTAAAGTGACAAATTAAATTTTTTAAACAAAAAGAGTAAAGAAAATAGTGATGTAAAATTTTAAGACATTATTTAAAATGATTAAATTGAAATATATTTTTTTGTTAGAGGCATAAGTATAATTTTTTAAAAGTTGAGGGGGGCACGTGACCCTCTTGGACCTCACCTGCCTGCACCCCTGTCTGTATCTATAGATTTGTTGACAAAGTATGTGTGGGTACTAACTATAGATGTAAACGCAATATTGTTTAACAAATTTTCACAATTTGATGAATGAGAAAAGCATTGACCAATTATTACTTCTTATAGTTAAATGGCATTATTGGGAAAGTGTGACATAATTAAAAAAAAAATTGATAATTTAATAAATGAAAAAGATGGATTGAATTTGAAAGCTGTTAACAATTATTAACAATTAATAACATAGACATTTTTGAAATGAAAAATTGAAAAAGAGTTAAAGTTTCATAACTATTCTAAGTTGGACTACTCATACCAATTGATTTTATATTATGTAATTGAACTATTATATATATATATATATATATATGTATATTTGTTTATTTCAATTACACAATACTAATTTTATGTCCTTACAACGTATAAATTAATCAAGCCACAAAACATAGCACGATGTAATGTCATTTTTTCCTCTTGGATCTTACAATAAATTCATTCATTTATTTATTTTCGTAGGCCTTGCAATATATTTATTGTCTATAATTCAAAAATGAAATGTATAGGTAGGGTTCATCAATGAGATAGGTGCGGCTTACCCCGCCCGTAATTATT